ACACTGTGTCTTGTCAATCAGAACACCTAATCTCATGCTTCTTTCATTTTTCTTTTTTTGCCCCCCAACTTTAGTAAGATGATTTTTAATCATACTGACTGGCCCTAGTTTCTGCTCTGCTATGAGGAGTCAAGGGCAGAATCTACAGGGAGGGCAGAGGTTCAAATGGATACTCTCTGTCCTTCCACGTGCCCGGGTGGAGGCTCTCCCTGTCCTGCTGGTCTTAGGAGACTTGATTCTTTGTCTTGTTTTTGTTTGTTTCCATTAAATAAGGCAAATGTGGTTCTACTAGTCATTCATCTATTTACATCCATTCATTCAAAAACTGTTTGTTGGCTGTCTTAAGTTTTACCTTCTTCTCGGAAAAGCCCTGCAACTACAAACTTTAATAAAGAGTCATCAGAAAATCCTTTCTCATCTGCTAAATTACTAGTACACACACACACACTAACTGGATCTGGCTGCAGGAGGTATCATGAAGAAAAGGCTTTCTTTTCGGAGGCCCTGAGGCTTTCAGTGAATGCCTAAGAGTTGTGAGGCTGCACCAACATCAGTCTTGGTGAGCCCAGCACTCAGGCAAGAACACTGACAGGTGAAGAAGGAAGTTGAGGCCCTTTTGCGTCTTCTGTTTTCAACATTTACTTTCCTCTTCTTACCACCAGATGGGTGGTGGTTTATTGGCTGATATGTTTAGCAACCTGGAACAAAAATTACTGTTCTCCGGAGAGAGGAAGGAGTGAGTATGGATGATATTTTTTAAAATTTATTATTATTAAAGATGTTAGATTTTTTTTCTATTTTGGTAGTTGGTATGCAAAGCAGCAGCCTTAAAACCATCAATGAATTATGAATCAGACTATGAGAACGCAAGAGTAGATAGGTCTGGGACATGTTTCATTGTGGTCTATTGCCATGGGTGGGGTGTGAAGGACATTGGTGGTGGCTTGTACCCTGGTCTTACTCCACAGAGGTGCTCTAGCTTAAACTTAAGGCTTGGGATTAGATGTCTTCTGGACCGGTGTTTGTCTGGGGAGGTCAGAAGAAGCATAGACAGAATTAGCTTTGTGGCTCCTACCTGGGCCACTTGGAGTGTTCTCTGTTGGCGTGTCCACTCTGTGAGAAGCTAGTTGCCATGACCAAGGCCTACTTCCTTGACACCACAATGTCTCAGTGGGGATTTGAGGAATTCCAGGTACAGGTTGATTCTTGAGTCAGAGCCAGAGAGGGCAATGTGAGGTGTGCTTGGGGAATCCTGAGAAGTCCTGTGTGAATGGATGCTAGGACAGGGATTGGGTGTTTCTGTTTTGTTTTTTTGAAAGGAAAAGAAAATTCACTGGAGCTTTTCAAGGAGGGATGTGACAGAATTGGAGCTGTGCTTTATGACAAACAATCCAGCAATCATTAGAGTGGTTTGGAGAGTGACAGATGGAGGCAAATAGACTAGGTAGAAGGCCATTTTAATAATCCAAGCAAGAGTTAATAAGGGCCTGAATTAGGGTGACAGCAAAGAGAATGGAGAGGAAGAGACGGAAAGAAGAGTCGTTGAGAGAAGTGACAGGTCTTGACAGCTGATCAGGCATGGGGCCTGAGGAAGAGGGACTCCCTCATCCTGACTGCGAGGCTTCAAGCCTGAGTGACTGGCAGGGTGAAGGTATTAACAGAAAGAGAGGAGGGGGAGACACTGCTTCGAGGGTGGAGTTGGGATTTAGGTCCTTGATTGAATATGGGGTTGTTCCTGACACCTTTATCTTTTGAGAGGCATTATCCTCTCCTTCCTGGATGTATTTCTCTGCCCTGTGGAAGCCCGCACCTTCAGGTCCAACCTGCTGTGCTCAAGTGCTGTGGGCTGTATGTGGAATTCTCTCGGGCCCTTTTGGGCTGTGGCTCAAAGTTCGATGAAGCCTGCGTATGGTTCTAATTTCTTCATTTGGCTCGATTGCTCTCCTGTTGCAAAAACTAAAGAAGATGATGATTCTCTGCGCCACAGGATGAGAACCAGTTGCCTGGAGGGCTAGGCTGGAAGAAAGCAGCGTCCAGTGCCAAACACGTGCGGGGAGGGCCTGGAGCTTCCCCAGCGCGCCCCCGCCATCCCCAGGATGCTCTGCAGCCGAAAGCACAGGGCTGGCAATGATCTTGGGTTCCTCTTGAGAATGCTTGTGGATGACTTTCTGGGCTTTTCACAAAGTGTAATGTATCTGCTTTAATGAGCAGCAAAATACTGTTTGTAATAAAAGAGTTGCTCCTAGCTTTCCTGGAGTAGCCCCATTTACGTTTAATGTGCAGAAACATGGTACCAAGGAAGGGATGGTTTTTATGCAGAAAGACCTCATTTGATGTGAATGACTTATTCTTGAAAGTTCTAGGAAATTTATATTGTAGCCTTTTTTAATGCCTAGTGAGAAACTATTTAAAGATACCATGCTGCCTTTGTATAAGGTATTTAACAATGTGCCTGACATTTTCTTCTTCACTCGTCTGGTAACTTTTAAAGTTTCTTCCGTAAGAAATAGCACAGAAGACAGGAAAGAGCATGGTCATTGGTATGAGACAGACCTGGTCCATGTTCTACTGGGCCTCTGCAGTGGACGTTACTGAAAGCTTGTCTCACATAATTTTCTCCTTAAAAGGGAGCGTTTTTGTGGTTTGCGAGGATACCTGATTGGCTGAAGGGAATCCTATCCCCCTTTGCTAAAGATTGGTTCGTGAGTGGGTATGTGAACCCAAATGAGGCTACCAAGAAATGAGGAGGGGTCTGAGGATCTGCTGAGGGGTGCTAGGAAAGTCCTTGCTCACCCTTCAGGGACATTTTCCTAAAGACTGTCTGGCTAGTGCATGTAAAATAAGGAGACACCATCCCATGACCGTGAAAGGAGCTGTCTTTAGGGTGACCCTGAAACGTGAATGTCTGACAGAAGGAATCTGAGGCCTCAGGCACATTTTGGGGCTTCTACATAGAATAACCCGAAATTATAGACCACTTCTGAACTTGCAGTTCTGTGAGCCAGTGAATTTCCTAATTGTTTACAGCTGTTTGAATCGTTACTGCTATTAATTGCCTTTGGAAGCAGCTTAACTGACACAACCACTAACTGATTTAGGACCCAGGTGGATTGCTTCTCCACGTTAGCCTCAGTATTCGTATCTATGAAAGGAACAGAAGTAGAAAAGGAATGGAGAGTTTTGGAAAAGATGGCAATCTACCTGTTGAGCTGTGGTGCTTGGGGGTCATCAAAGTTGACTTCTCTCCCGTTGCCTTTCCACGGATGGCCATGGACTCTTGATTCTTCTTCTAAATAGGTTCAGAGGCTTCTAGTTGGACAAGACTCAGTGACATGACTACGCAACTGGCCTCTTTTGCAACAGAGATGAGAAGCAGCTGCTTCTTTTTATGTTCTTGATTCCTAAATGGCCCTGGGCCTGACTTTAATGGATGTTAGACAAATTCTGCTGCTGGAGTATTATTGCCTTTGCCCCAGTGACCTTTTGTGCAAAGCATCATCTGAGTCTCAAGAAGGACAAAGATCTAGGAGTCCATTGAGCTTTGAGACTTGCTTGGGTGATTATTTTCTGCTGGCTGTTAATAGATGTCTAGTTGTATTGCTGGATGTAGTCTGTGACTTGGTTTCTTCAAAATCTGGGTGTCAGCTACTACTCGCTCCATTTATTCTTGTCTTCATCCAACAAATAATTATTGAACACATACTGTGTGCCAGAAACTTTTCTAGCCTTAGGGATTGTATTAATTTGTTAGGGCTGCCATAATGAAGTCCTACAGAGTGGGTGGCTCAAATACTCCAAGATCAAGAGGTTGGTTGGCAGGGTTGGTTTCTCCTGATGCTTCTCTCTTTGACTTGCAGATGGTCATCTTCTTCTGTCGTCACATAGTCTTTCCTCTGTATGCATGTCTTGTCCAAATTTTCTCTTCTTAGAAGGATGCCAGTTATTTGGATTAGGGCCTAATTTTAATTCCATTACCTCTTAAAGACCTTATCTCCAAATATGTTTATATTATATTGGAGCCTAGGGCCTCAACATATGAGATGGGTGGGGAATGAGGCAATTCAGTCCATATCAGGTCTACAGCCGGTCACAAGAAAGACAAATCCTGAGATTTGCTTTGCTTTTTGGTTTTTTTAAATTCTCAACCGAGGATATTTTTCCATTGCTTTTTCAGAGAGAGTGGAAGGGGGAGGAGAGACAGAGAAACATCGATGTGAGAGAGACACATCGATTGGTTGCCTCCCACTCAAGCCCCAAGGGGTACTGAGCCTGCAACTGAGGTATGCACCCTTGGCCACAGTCGAACCCAGGACCCTTTGGTCCATGGGCCAATGCTCTAACCACTGAGCAAAACTGGCTAGGGCACAAATCCTGAGATTTGAATATGAGCTCTTTGCCCTTGATGCTCTCTTATTTTGTTTCCTTGATGAAGTGATGGACTGAAGGGTAGCAAAGGTATTTTCAGCAGCAAAGGAGCTCTTCTAGATGGGGTTCCTAATCCTTCCTCTTCTTTGCCAGAGCTGATCCTTTACAAAAACAGTACATCCTATTGCTGTTTTTGCTGATTCTATGCAAAGTGATAAATTTAGCCTAACTCTTTCTGAGTTGTAGGTAAAACACATTTAGAATTACAGAAGAAGAAATAGCAAGCTGTCTGCAGAAATGTATTCAGTGGCAAGATGACTGTCATCCCTGGAGATTATGTTTAGCTATAGCTATGATATGATTGCAGATCATCTTCATTAAGCATTTGTTCTATCACAGGCTTTGTGCTAAATGTGTTATGTACCTCATTAGCCCACAGAACCTTGTCTTAATATCCTAATTCCCATTTTTCAGATGAGAAAATTGACACTTAAAGAAGTGAGGTCACCTTGCTCAGGTTTGGCTGCTCTGCCTGGACCCAGAGCCTGTGCTATTGCTACCAAGAAGCACTGCTGGGAAAATGTGGCATTCACTTTTGTTTAGGGAGGCATGGAGTAGACCATGGTAGCGGGTGCAGCTTTGCTGAACTTTAAATTCTAGAACTCTAAAGCTGGAAAGGACTGATGAAATCATCTAAGTCCTTGCTCAAGGACATTTCTTGGGTGAGTTAAAAAGATACTATTATAATTCTGGTTTTCTGATTCTAAATCTGGTATCCTTTAATCTCCCCCATGAGGTCCCTTTGACTCTTCATTTACTGTACCATAATAATTATGATAACAAAGCCATAATGTTATTTTTAGAGTGCCTTTTAGTTCTCAAAATGTTTTCACCTACTTAAATTGGAAACAAAACAATGGGCTTTAATTGACTAAACAGGAAGTACCCTGGGCTCTTCCGGCCAAAGGGGAATTTAACCACGATGACTGGGAAATGTCTCAGCAGCCATTTTTCTACCAGTGTGGATTGTTTTTAGACTGAATCCCAGTTGCTAAGATTGACTAGAAGGAAGAGACTCTGACTCCTGCTCATTACCCTGAGGCAGAGAACAAAGCTTTCAGAATCAGGACACAAAGGACCCAGTGCAAAGAACAGAACTGCAGCATGGCGGAAAATCAAAAAGAAGTGATTTCAGGGGAAAGCCAGAAATTAATATATCAGTAAGATTTTTTTGGTGCTGAGCAATAGAATCCTATGCTGGCTAAAATAGGAGAGAAATAAAAAGAAAAGCGTTGCTCTGCTGTAAGGTGGTGCATCTAGGGGTGGAAAGGAAGGTTGGAGAAAGCAGACTTAGAACAGAAAAGAACCAGGCAACTCCAGATTGTCTCACAAACTGGAATGAATGAACATGAGCCTTATCTTCCAATAAAACTGTCTTCCATAGTTTTACTTCATTCAAGGATTAAAAATCCAGAAGAGCAAGTTCAATTGGCCAAGCTTAGGTTATATGCCTGCCCTTGACTGTATGCTGCGGTTAATAAAAATCCTGGTAACCTCCAAGGACAGCTTCAGCTGTCACAGAGGGAGGGCAGGCACCTAGCTTTACCACCCTTCCCATCAAGAGCACAAAATGATCTCAGGACCCCTTTGTCCACAGAGGGATGGCCAGACCTATAGAGAATTTTTATAAGAATTTATTCGCGCCATTGATGACATATGTGAGGCACCAGATCGCAAATGCTCCTGAGAATAACAGTTTTGCAGCCTCCTTTATGCATTTGAAATTAGGGAGGGACAGTAAGGAAGACCAGGTGGAGGTGGGAGAAAGCCAGATGGGAATTGGATTAAAGTATGGTTAACAAGATTATGTGTTCTCTTGAGGGTGGTTAAGGTTTATGTCAAAAGTGTGTTACCTAGATGCACAGAAACCATGAACAGGGCTTATTTAAGGCAAAGATAAACCTTTTGCTAAAGAAGTTTGTATGCCTGGGGCATGACTACCCACCATGACCTGTCCAGTTAGGAATGTATGATCAGATCACCCTGTGAGGTGACTTTTCATAGAACTCCTTTTTTTGTCCATAACTTTATACCCTGAAAAATTACTGAGGACCTCAAAAAGCTTTGGTTTATGTAGATAACATATTAGAAATGAAAACTGATAAACTTTAAAATATTTATTTAGTAATTCATTTAAAAGTAGCAACAATAAACCCATTTCATTTTAACGTAAAGAGTGTATTTTTAAAATGAAAATAACTATTTTCTAAAACCAGAACTATTAGTGGAAAGAGTGGTGTTGTTCTATGTGTTTGCAAATTTATTTATGTCTGGTTTAATAAAAGACAGCCAAATTGTTACATCTACTTTTGCATTCACTTTCTTCTGATATTTTATTTTGGTTACAGTATATGAAGAAAAATTGGCCTCACACAGATGTGTATTAGAAAAAGGTAGGAGTGTTTTAATAGCCTTTCGGCTAATTGTGGAGATTCTTCTTTGATATTATACCAAAACTCAACAAATAGTCGTTTCTTAAACTCTGAAAGTCTGTTTTCATGATTAGATACTTTAAAGTCCACCAGTATCTCTTGTACTCGACTGTCTTTCACCCACGCATGATTTTGTAACCATCATGCATTAGTCATTTAGAAAATGTTGCTTTGCTGAGTTATGCAGAGCTTCCAATTGTTCACAGACGTCATCGACAATATACACAATCATAGGATCAATATCACTACCAATCTCATCAGAAAAATATTTAAGCATTGGGACACTGCCAAGCCCATGGTGGCAGATACTAGTTTCCTAATATTTTCCTTCAGATGAAATCTCATTTGTTGCAAAAATATATCAGCAAAAATAGTCAGTGGTTTTCCTTGAAGCGACAGTCATATTTCATTCCTTTTTGGAGAAAGTTTCTGCCTAATACTCAAGGCTAAAGAACCATGGTTTGTCTGTAAGTCATTCTCTCTAATCAAAACAAAATTGTGACAAAAAAAAACCTCATCCAGCTCACACTCAAGCAATTACACAAGTGGTTTTCCCCAAAACAACTCTCATACTTCTGCATGCAACCGAACCTTTACACGTATAGAATTTCCCATTTCCCCAAAGAGAGTAACATGACAGGTACCAGGGGGCGGGGCTTAATAAATTAATAATTCATTATTTTTATTGAGGTAAAATTGGTATATAACATTCTATATGTTTCAGGTGGACAACATTATATAATATCTCCTACTGCTTCATCATTGAGATTTTTAAATAAAACTGGCTTAAATGCATCAGTTTAATCCAGCGTTTTATGTGGCGATGAAGAAAGAACACTCTGGCTGCGAGAACCGCTTGGTGGCTCTGCCTGAATCTGTGCAAAGGGACCAGTGATTTGACTCACTATTGGGTTTGGGAGCTTTTTGTTGGTTTGTTTATTTTGTTTGTTTGTTTGTTTGTTTTTGGCTTTTTATTTGGTAATAATTTTAAATTTTTTCAAAAAACAATAATAATACAGAGAACACCCATACACCCTTTATTTCCATTCACCATTTTTAGGCCATGTGCCTCTCCCTCTCATTTTTGTTTGCTGAATCATTTGGGGGTAGGCTCCATATATCATCGTCATTTAGCCCTTAATATTTCAGTGTGTAGTTCCAAAAGATACTCTCTTCAGTAGTCACAGTGCAGTTATCAACTTTATAAAGTTACACTGATACAACATTTTTATTGCCCAGATTCGAGTTTTGGCAGTTGACCTAATGAGGTCATTTATATGTACAAGATCTATTGTGGAGTCAGATATTACATTTATTTATCTTGTCTCTTTAGCCTCCTTAATTTGAAATGTATTTCCACAGCCTTTTTTTGTAGTTGTTCTTTTACGACACTGACATTTTTGAGAATAAAGGCCACATTCCTTGCAATATTGTGATTTGTAAGAAATACATATTTGATGATTCAAATAACCAAAATATATTTTTCATATATATATTAGGTCTTCATCCACAATTCCTGGCTCATAGCTCCTAAAACCTTCATGAATTCTTACTATTTTTTTTATTGATAGAGAGAGAGAAAGAGAAAGACATCAATGTGAGAGAGAAACATCAATTCATTGCCTCCCACATGTGCCCTGACCGGGAATCAAACCCGCCACCTTCTGGTGTATGAGACCACTCTCCAACCAACTGAGCCACATTGGCCAAGGCAAAGTCTTACCTTTTCAACTGTTTATAATATATTCCTGTACTTAATTACTTTGGTGCTAAAATTGTCCTAGACCTTACCCATGGGAGCCCTCCAAGCTGCCTCCTGTGTCCTTGTGACATGTTCCAATCACTTTTCCCTTCCTGAGCGCTTTCTTACTTTCTGGTGGGAGTTGCTGCCAGTTCATCTTGTACCTACTTTGCCCCAGTCACCGACTCCCTATTTCTTCGAGGGGGGCTGATTCCTTTTAGCTCCCGTTGCTTTTGTATGATCCACCCAAATGTCAGTTGTATAACGAGAGTTTTGACCTCTTGGACTTCCTGAAAGTATCTCAGGGACTCAGAGCAGCCTGTGGGCACTTTGAGCGTTACTCCTGGATATAAATTATGCTTAAGTTAACTCTGTGCTAAGGTGTTCATAATTTGCCTTGTGTGATGTGTATTAAATTAGCTTAATTGAGGAGCTAAAGCCTCAGTAGCTGAGAGACCTTGACCACTTAGCTCCTCCCTCCTCTCCCTCTCCCCCTCCCTCTCCCTCTCCCTCTCCCCCTCCCTCTCCC